GCCTTTTTTTTTTTTTTTACAGCCCTCAAAAAAAAGATTCCACCTACTTCAGGAGTATGAAAATAAAGCAAATTCAAATTTGCTTGACATGACGATTCACGCTTGTAATCCCTGCACTTTGTAGGCTGAGGCAGGAAGATTCCAAGTTGCAAGCCTAGGCAATCTGGCAACTTAGTAAGACTGCCTCAAATACAAAATGGAGAAGGGCTGGGGGTGATACTGCACAACATCAATAGGAAACAGTCAATCAGATAAATGGAGAGAAACGTGATGTTAGCAGTAAAGAAGTGGGGGAAGCCACTGAGGTTCAATGTTCTCTGTGTGTATGTGGGGTGGGGGGTGATACTAGATCTGCTGTGTGGTAGGTCAAGTATCACCACATTCTTCCACTCCACCACTGACTGCTACACTGCCAGAACCTTGCCCTTTCCTTCTGAGATAGGCTTTCACCAAGTTGCCCAGGCCGGCCTTGAACCTGGGACCCTCCTGCCTTTGCCTTCTGAATACCTGGGACTGCAAGCATGCACCACCATGTCTGGCTGGATCCTCCATGAAGAAAATAATGTGTTAACAGACTGGATTATCTGTCCTATTAAGATAGGAGGATAGGATAGGATAGGATAGGATAGGATAGGATAGGATAGGATAGATAGGCTACTAGCATAGATAGGCTAGGCTAGGCTAGATAAGATAGGATAGGATTCTCTATCCTATTCTGAGGCTCACTTTGGAGTTAAAGAGCTGGCCTTCATCCCCCAGGGCCTGACCTGCCTCCAGCCTGTCCAGCATCAGCCGGAGCCTCACAGCCCAAAACCATGGGGCTTGGTATCTCCTTTGCTATCTCTCACTTCTGCTCCCCAAGTATTACTGAGTATGTTCCACTACAAGATGCAATTTGGGGGCTGAAGAACACAGTGGTATCAATAAAATCTGCTTGCAGGGTCCCGGGAGATAAGTCAGTAGCTTAAGTGCCTGCTTGGCAAGTGCAAGGTCCTCAGTTCAATCCCTGGTTTAAAAAAAAAAAAAAAAAAAAAAAAAATCCTCTTGCAGTTCTAACTCTGACTGGTAGAACCTATATTTACAGATGTTCCAATCTCCTGTGAGGGGAAGAGGGATCGCATTCTAAGGACTAGGCTCCAAATGGATTGCATGTTCCTGACCCACCTAACCCCCCAGCTCACCAACACAGGACGCTATAGAGCACCCACTGTTCCTCTACACGGTGGTTCACTGGGCACCATGGCTACAGCCCAGCATCAAGATCACAATGCTTAGTACCAGCCAAGGAAAAGTGCCAAAGTCAACATTCCAAGTGCGCTTCCCACTGAATGTGTATGGGGCAGAACCAAGGTGATAAGCCCAGGGAGCATCTACAGCTCACAGCTCAGAACAGGTTTCACTTCTAACTTTCGGTTGGGCATAAAACAGCAGGTATTGGGGCTGGAGAGATGGCTCAGTGGTCTAAAGCACCTACTTGAAACAAGCTTGGCAAAGCACAGGGACCGCGGTTCGATCCCCAGCACCACATGCCAGCCAGACCCGCCCCCTGGTGGGCTGAGCTGGCCACACACACACAATAAATAAATGTAATAAATAAAAATAAATAAATATAAAAAAGTATGGATTACCCAATTTAAAAAAAAATAATAATTTAAAAAAAAAAAAAACAGCAGGTATCAGAGCCCACAGATGAGGAGATGAAAACCCAGAAATGCTCACATTCTACTCAGCACCGCATCCCTTTCGCGTCTGAGCAAGTGTGTGCACGGACCTATAAAACACTGGCCCTTGGTTTCCCAGAGATCCAAGCAGCCTAGAAAAGAGAAGGAGGACAGCTCTGCACTCAGGTTCCAGCGTAGCCACTTACTCACACATTGGACCTTGTGCCAACATCACCTGTTCTCACGCCTTGTGAAGGTGCCGAAGGAGACATCTTGTCTTTAATCCATGAAAGCACCCTGTGCTTTTCCAGCTTGAGCCATGGCCTTCTAGTGCAAGTTCTCCACAAGCATGAGTGTTGAGTCCCCACAGTGCACACCCCACACCAATCTCAGGGCCAGAATTTCATACTATAGCCCCTCTTTTAACTTTGACACTTAACTTTGACCAATCTGTTCATTTCTTTCCAGCACAGCTCTGACACCATACAAAGACACCAACCCTGCTGAGTAAAAACACTTTCAGGACATTAAAGATGCTGACTTGTGCAAAATTAGGGTTGAATGGATTTGTAAATTAAGGATCATTTCATTAAAAGTCAGCTTTTAAGTTACAGCATATGTGAGCTTCTTAAAAGCAAGACAATTTCATTTTGATATAAAATATATTACCTGTTGAAAGTGGGGAGAAGAGATCCTAAAGAGAAAAGAATTACCAATGTCCCTGGTCTTGTTCCACTTACTCTCAACCACAGGAGTATGACATGGCCAAGAGCCATGGTCCCCAGGGCACAGTACCATGGGAGAAGAGGCAATCAGGAGCTAAGGGCTGCAGTGTGGGGCAAGGATGGAGGAGCTGGTCTGAGGTCCAGAGTCCTGACTGCAGTAATTGCATGAAGAAGGTACCCTGGGAGGAGGGACCCATCCACTTCCTCTGCTCCCTGCTTCCCTCTGTAAACTTCCTGTAGGGCAAACAGAACTAACCACCACCACCACCACCCCAACAAAGGGGCCCCATGATGTCAGGAGGCTGCAGCAATCCAGGGGAGAAAGGGAGCCTTGATACGCTGTCCTTCTTTCCAGCAAATAATGTGCATGTCTGCTGGGGTCATGGAGACAGCAAGGAAGGCAAGTTCACTAGTAACTTGGGAGCCGGACTTAGCCCCAACTCTACTACACATGGCGATGTTTGGGGACAGGAAGAATCTAGAGGACCTTCAGGTCCCTGAGACAAGTGCTACAAACCACCAGCATCAAGAGTATGAAATATTACTTTCTTTCTTTTTTCCCCCCTCAAAAGCTCCTCAACCAGGGCGGGGGAGATAGCTCAGTAGAATAAGCACTTGCCTGGCAAGTGCAGGGTTCTGAGTTCAATCCCCGATACTGAAAAAGAAAAAAAAAAAGGAAAGCTTCTCATCCAATGACGAGCTGGCTAGCTTCAGGGAACGAAGAATCAGCTCTCTTCTCTTCCAACTTTCTAAGGCAAAGATTATCCTGGACTGGGCATCTCATGCAGCAACAGCATTTCTTTCATTATTAACTTTCAACAACATTCCTCAACGTCAGAACTCGCACAAAAGACAAAGGTGGACATTTCTCAGAACTGGGGCTGCCACTTGTTACCCAATCAGTGCAAGGCAGCCTCGGCCAGGCCCTTTGGGGACCCAATGTCCACTCAATATTTGCATGAGATAAAAGTTGAAGGTTACAAAAAACAACAAATAGTTGAAATCAACAAGCAGAAGGTATCCCTCATTTAGATTAGGCAATGGATTAAAAAAAAATCCCGTCCTCAGCATCAAAAATAAAATAAAATAAAAAATTTAAATCCCTCCACAGTCTAAACTATTTAAAAGTCTAAGAAACAGTTAACAGTGGTGGCGTTCACAGAAGGGACGGAGGAAGGAGGCCTCTCTGCACTGTTCTCATTCACACCTTTTGAACTTTGCACTGTGTGCTTGTACTGCTAATTTTTGACACAAAGAAGTCCTTCCAAGCAAAGCTCAAGACTGGCATACACGATCCTAAGACAACTGAGGTTCCATTTAAGGGCGAGATAACCTATTTTTTTAGTCTTGCGCATGCTAAGCACGCACACGACTACTGAACTACAACCACCCCTTCCCTTTTTCGGGGGTTGGCGGCGGGGTCCAGCGTTGTACAGACTGGCCCCGAACTCTTGAGTTCATGCGATCCTCTCGCCAGAGCCTCTCAAGTGACGGGGACAACAGGCAACTGAAAATCTCTTAAACACACTTTAAATATTCCCATCATGAGCCATTATTCTACTCCTAAAGCACGAATTCAAATATTCAAGTTGTCTTCCACCAACCCCAGGGCTCCGGTCTGCCAATAATAACGCACAGTGACTAAACAGTTCTTCCCCCCCCCCCAAAAAAAAAAAAAATGCCAACGACAAAGTGCAGAACAACCCTGGGCTGGGCGCTGTTTCCACCTCCCACGGCCGGCGGCCACCTTCCCAGCGCCCTCAAGACCCAGGGAGCCCTTTCAACTGAGAGCTTGGAGAGCGTCCTGGAACCGCAACTGCAGCTTCCGCGCCCCGCCCCTTCCCCCAGCTGCGGGCGGGAGTCACGTGACGGCTGAGAAAAGTAGGGGAAAGGTTACGGGCAGCCCCGCCTACGGGCCGGCTTGTCCCTGGCGCTCAGATCCTGTTCCACCGGCCATGCCCACAGAGACTTTCCGGAGCGAGCTGGCGCTCGGCGCCGCTGCCACCCCTGCGACTGCGGACGAAATGCAGTGCACTTCTCCGTAGGAGGAAAGGACAAGCCCTGCGGTGCTCAATCTTGGGGACAGTTACGAGCTCAGTATGCTCAATGACAGGCGCCGCAGCTACCCGGCAGCTTGGCACTGCGGCCAAGCGAGCCCAGGGTACGTCTAAAAGGGGTTCACTGCGAGGTCCAAGTAAAAATTAACGGTGTTTTTATGAATGGGCACGCGAGGTTAAAGTTGGGCAAGCACAGGCCGGCGCCCCACGACTCCCCCGAGACCCAGGCCAGAGGGCTCTAAGGTCACTCACTGGCCCGGGGCAAGGCTAAACACTTAGAAACTACACTTTAATTCCATCTCCAGGTTAGGGGTCTTGTTTCTAATACGGGTTGGCCTGTGTGTGATCCCAGATGTTACCACAAAGTTATGCACACCCCTAAACGTGACCTCGTCTGGAACCAGCTACTGTGAGACGGAATTCAAGCGCAAGGTCAAGTCTACCATAGCTCCACGCAAAGGAAACTAGTAATTTACTAGGGGAAAACAGCCCACTGCCTCGGGGTACCGAAGAAAAACCAGCCCAAAGAACCAACTTTGAGCCCATTTCAAACTCGCCTGGACTACAGCATCCTTGCTGGCACTAAAGCCCACGTGTCTGTGACTTCCTCAGCTGGGCCAGCGTCACCTTAAATACTTGGGAAAGGGGGAAGGGGAGGTGCTTGCTGCACGAATAAAAGGCCAGGGCTATGGACATTTTTTATTCCTTTGGCTTGTGGTTTTGGCGGAAATAAACAGCATGCTTGAATATCTGGAATAGCGAGAAAACAGATGCCTGTTTAAGAAAATGGTGTAACAAAGTACCTCTCCAGAGGTTAAACTGATTTTCTTTATTCAATAACTTCAAAAATTATGAGTTTCGTACTAAAATCTATCCTGGAGTATTTTACTGTAAGAAGCAAAGAGGAACTGAATGTCTGCCTCGAATTGAGAATATTAGGTTTGTGCTGTATGTAATCTGGTAATTATAACTTTAATTCTTGAAGTTTGAAAAAGAAGTCGGCTCAGCCCCCGCCTTCCTCCAGCTTTGATGAAAGGCAGGCACCGATTTCCTTTATAAAGACACTGATCCATTGCTTTCCTGAACAAAGCCAAGCGAAGCGGCTACTGCTAGTGGCTCGCAGAGCCGGGCCGTACCCAGGCCGGACCGCGCCTTTGGGATCGCGGGGCCAAGTTCGCGAGGCCTGGTCACGTGAGTCCCCCTCAAAGCCGGTCTGGAGCGACCTTGGGCAGCCTCACCGCATCCCCAGCCCTTGACTCCGAGCGGCTCAGCGGAGGAAGGGGGCGTTCACATGCAGGGAGCCGAGACCCACCCTCCACTTAACCCCCGACCACTCGCTCAGTGCCAAGGGCGTGTCCCGCAGGCTGCACTGCGGGGGCGTTCGGGGACAGCGACCAGCCAAGTCCAGGAGCGGAGCATCCCTCCCACGGCAGCACTGTACCTGCCGCAGGCTGAACGCCCTCGGGTGACCCCCAGACCCACTGCATAAGCCAACTGGAGGTAGGAGGAGGTCGGACCGGATGGAAAAACGAATTGATGCCCCACTGGTTCGGAGAGGGGGCATCCCGCCAGGGCCTGAGGCCGGAGCATCTCTTCTGCTGCGGATCGAACCTTGCCCCGGGACAGACAACACCAGGCAGACACCAGACCTAGTCCGCTCACCGCGGGCTGGAGGGACCGAGACCACAGATCTGGGCCCGCGATCGGGTTCCTCCCGGGGATAGGTGGCGGCGTCTGGTCAAGTCCCAATATTAAGCATCCTTCCGTGGACCCCAAGTCCCATCCCTACGCACCTCCGAGTTCGCTGCGAACTCCGCGGCCCGAGGGCAGCGCTTGGGTCCCCTGAGCCCGACCGGGTAGCCACCAGCCCGGAACCGCGCCCGAGTCTCAGAAGCCTCGCGGCTGCCGCCCAACCCGCAGGGCGCCCTCCCCACGCGCGGCCACGGCCGAGCCTTACCGAGTTGGCTGACGGCAGTTCGGCAGCAGCGGAATGAGCGAGCGGCAGGCAAGCGCCGGGGGCGGGAGGACCACGGGCCAGACCCGAGCGCACCGACGCCGGTCGTAGCGGATTGGCTGGGCCGCGCGGGCTTGCGGCGAGAGCTGGCTGGCTACTCCGGGTGCGCGCTGGGAGAGGCGGGGCCTGGATGGGGCGGGGCCTGGATGGGGCGGGGTCAGGTGAAGAAATTGAGGCTTGCTTGCCAGGACGCCTATGCCGGCTCTGAGGCGACGGGATCTAGGAGGGATTCCCCTCCTTGGGTGCTTCTATTTCTCCATCTGTAAAATGGGCCAACCATTAGCACCTTGCCTTTCTTGTGCTGCGTCTACAACTAGGCTGATGCAGCTTGTCCTCTGCCCCCTTTTACAGACGAGGAACCCCGTAAGGGAAAGAATGACTAACTTGCCCGGGATCACACGGCTAAGAATGTAAGTGAGCCCACGGCCCAAGATGGATCTTGTCCTCGACTGACAGCTGTTGTCTTTGGAGGCAGAGTAGCTGATACGGCTAATGTGCTAAAGGGCTCCTTTTCATCCAAATGGAATGCCTCCCTCGAGGGGCTCTGGGTAGATCTGGTAAAATATTACGGGGCTGGACTGTGGCTCAGTAGTAGAATGCATGCTTAGCATGCAGGAGGCTCTGAGTTCAATCCCCAGCACTAGGATAAAAAAAGATTCTGGCAACGTTAAGAACATAATAGGTGGCAAGAGGGGGTACTGCAGCCGCGTGCAAGATGGGGACTAGGGTGGGGACAGCCGACCTGCTAGCCCCCAGAGGAGCCACCTCCTTCTTTACCCACCTATTTTCATGCTGTATAGCTGCCTATAACGGTTGCTCTATAAATGCACTAACTCTGTGAATAAGACCTGGCACTCTTAGCAGTCAATCACTCCTGATTAGGAAAACCCCGTTTTGCCTTCGACTTTCTCTATTATTTGATTATTCCAGCAGAAGACTTTAAAAGAGAAAATGAAAGTTCTCCTTTGATCCCTCCCTAGGCGGACTATGGACGCAGTGAAGCACTGCAGCTGTCCCCACGGCCCTACTCTACGGTTTTAAATGAATAAGAGCGATACCTGTTTGTCACCCTTGCTTCTGTCGTGGCTTAGTTCTCTGGGGGGACACGGAGACAGACAGCGTCTTTCGGGGCAATACAGTATTTCCTTTGACAACCTGCTGTGATGTTCAACTGGCCCGGCAGGATATTCGGGCACCCTTTGCGCCATTGCAAGTATAATAAAGGGGGCACTGGACACCCCTCCCTGAGTGCTTGTTTCTCCTGGACAACTGACCCTAAAAGTGAAGCAGTCAGGCGCCTAGAAGTGCCTTTTTGGTGCCATGTGCCAAGCTACCATCCAGAAATTCTAAGATCCACCCCCTTCCCACGCGCAGGCCTGGCCTCCGGTTATTCATTCTTTTTGAATCTTTGTCAGCCTTGAAAGCGAGGAGGGACCGGAAGAACCCCTCCACGTTTTTTCTTTGAGGACTGAAGTTAGAGGTCCACCCGACGCTGGCTCTCGCGTGGCCCCGCCCATCTCGCGCTCTAGGAGGCAGGTGGTCTGGGCCAGGACACCGGGGCTGCCTGCACCTGCCCTGGCCCTTGCGCGTCGTCTCCCCGCCTGTCCCTGCTCGTGAGCCGTCCCGGCTTGTATCAGGGAGACTGGACTGTCACGCTCACCTCAGACGCCCTTCCCTGCTCTCCCTGGAACCCCAGCGCTGTGAGGTCCCCGCCCCAAGGTCACTTCCTTGTTTAATCAGTGCTGTTGTGTGCCTCGCTGGGATTGGCCCTGCGCCCTGTCTGTTGCAAAGGCTCTGCAGCCTTGACCTTGCGCCGCTCCCAGCGCGCCTTCTCCGTGCCACCTGTAGGTGGGGCGGGGCGCGACGGGCGGGGCGGGGCGGGGCGGGGCGCCTAGCTCACCTGTGCCTGCCGGCGGACTCGGGGTGAGGAGCCCAACCGCACGCGTAGCTCGCTGCGGGTCTGCACCGCTCCGCTGCTTGGAGAGCTGCAGCTCCCAGGAGTGACTATTAATAAAAAGCGAGAGCCAGGCCCCTGGGGAACACCAGACTCAGTCCTTTAAATTCCCTAGGGCCAAAAATATCCTAGTATACAACCCAGAAACTAGAATAATCTTTTGCAAACTCTGTTGAATTTTTATTCTCCAAATTCTTTCCTAGTTTTTTTTTTTTTTTCTTTCCCAGTTTTAATAAAATACGCAGCAGTTGCCTTCTATAGAAACACTCCGGAGGAGAAAGAAAACTTTTTCAAGTTTATGTAATGTTTTTATCGTTGAGGTTTCATTTGGGAGGTTGTTGTTGTTGTTGTTGTTTTGCTCCGAATGCCTTCAGGGCAGGTTTGGCTGGCTTGAGTTGTGGGGATCGAACCACAGCAACCTGAGCCTGACTGCTCTGTTGAAGCAGCCACTTAAAGAACTGAGCTAAGGGGCAGACCCCCTGTTTTTGTTTTTTGTTTTGTTTTTGTTTTTTGAGACAGGGTCTCCTTTGTAGCCCAGGCTGGTCTTGAACTCACTGTGATCCTCCTGCCTCAGCTTTGGGAGTGCTAGGATTGTACATATGGGCCACCATGCCTGGCAAAAATCTTTTCCTTTCCTTCCAGACCGCTGAGTAGCTAGCCTTAGAGATAGGCTCCATCTGCCTCGCTTCAGTCTACCAATTCTTGAGTACAGATCGCTTTGGTGGTTTTGTTTGTTTGTTTGTTTGTTTGTTTTCCGGAACTGGGGATTGAACTCAGGCCCTTGCGTTTACCAGGGAAGCGCTTATTCTACTGAGCTATCTCCCTGGCCCCTAGTACAGATCTCTTAAAAGATAAGTTTTGTGTTGGGGGCCAGGGAGATGACTCAGTAGAATAAACGCTTGCCTGGCAAGTGTAAGGGCCTGAGTTCAATCCCCGGTTCTGAAAAAAAAAAAAAAAAAAAGTTTTGTGGGTAAAGGGGATTAGTTTTGTTTTTGTTTTTTGAGGGAGGATGCTTACTTTCTTTTAGGGGATGTTTGTTTGTTTGGCAACAGTGGTGATGGAATCCAGAACACAGGCCCTTGCATATGCCACACAAATGCCCCAAGGATTCTTAAAAAAAAAAAAAAAAAAAAAAGGTAACATACACTGGGGTGGGGGAGGGACAAGAGGAGAAATTAAAATGAAAATTTTTAAAAATTTGAATAAAAGGAAACCACAATGCCAGGGTCCACCTAAATAGATGACACAAAGTGTGGAAAGCCAGTGGCCTGCCCAGAGGACGGCTGAGCTCCGCTGTCCCTCCAGCCACGTTTGTCTGGCAGCTCCCAGAAGGCTCTGGTCCAAAGTGTGTAAGATCTGTTGGAACTAGGCTCTCTCTCCCCTAGGAAACAATGTTGTAATCTCAGGGCACTGTGCTTCCCTCCCCACCCCAAAGCTGGAGTCCTCTGAACTTGACCCCTGGTCCCTATTAAGAGTGTTAAGTACATAACAGAGGTGATGTTTGCCTAGCCAGCATCATCAGGGTTAGGTTTGACGGGGACAAACAGGTAATGTGAGGAACACAAACGTAAAACAACCAGAGATGCACATGGGAAAAAGCCCTCAGCACAAGTTGTGTGCTTGCCCTGTGACCTGGTAACCCGTGAGCACTGGGTTTGCACCCAGGCCGCATCAGAGCCTGGAGTGGCTGCCTGGATCTTTTGTTGTCCTCCTTGGCCTTAGTGTCCTCTCCTAAAGAAATGAAGAGCTGGGCAAGGTGGTGCCCACCTGTAATCCTAGCACTCTGCATGGCTAAGGCAGGAGGCTCCAAAGAAGGAAGGAGAGAGGGAGAGGGAGGGAGGGAGGGTGGGAAGAAAGGAACAAAGAACAAATGAGAGAATCTGTCAAGGGCATGAACAAGCAGCCTTTCATCGGCATCTCCTTTCTTCTTTTCCTTTAGTCAGTCTGTGTATTTGGAGAAGCAGTCTTGGGTGCATGAACTTCAGAACCACTTGGCCTGAGTTCGCTTCTGACTCTGCCACTTCCTATTGGAGCAAACTTAGAGACCTCTGTGTACTTGGTTTCCTCATCTGTACAATGGGAGAGCACACATTATCTTGGAAGATAGTAATGATGCAGACATGAATGATATAAGCGAGTGCACCAAGCATTCTGAGCTACACTGTAGGTGTCATACAAGCACCAGCTCTGATTATGTTCCTTCCAGGGAGCCCATATTTTAAAACTTCTATCTTTAAGTACTCTAGAAGGCTGAGGCAGGAGAGCTGCAAATTCGAGCCTGCGCAAATTAACAACCTAGTAAGACCTTGTCTCAAAATAAAAAGTAAAAGGAATGGGGATATAGGTCGATCAGTGTAAAAGATGCCGGGTTTAATGCCCAGTAACACACTCCCATAGAACACACATGTATATGCATGCAAAACAAAAACACTTCTATCTGTAAGCAGTACAATTAGTGGCAACTAACTCATTTCATTTCATTTCATCATTTTTTGATCAGCAACATGGCACAATATTCAGCTAGTTGTCATCAGCAAGAGATTCAGCTGGGAATGTAGCTCAGTGGTACAGTGCTTGTCTGGCAAACACAAGGTCCTGAGTTCTATTCCTGGCACACACACACACACACACACACACACACACACACACACGAAATTCAGTTACTCCAATAAGTATAGTGACTGCTTAGACATGATATCTCACCAGTCAAGAGCAAAAACAAGGGGCCAGCTAGATAGCTCAGGGGATTAAAGTGCCTGCTTAGGCAGATGCAGGGACTGGGGTTCGATCCCCAATGTGCTATGCTGGCCCCGCCCCCAGAGTGCGCTGAGATGGCGATTGAAACTGGGTGTGGTGGCGCACACCTGTAATCCCAGCACTTGGGAGGCTGAAAACAGGAGGATCACTACAAGTCCGATTTGTGTAGTGAGACCCGGTAAACCTGTCCCAAATACATAAAAAAAATAATAAAAATTAAAAAGAGCAAAAACATTGAACACTTTGATTTATAGTAGTCAATTTCAGATACATAGGAGATCTCGTTGAGGCTCTTAAATTTTATTATTTGATTGACTGATCGACTGACTGACTG